GTTTCCCCTACAGCTTGGCCAGGGCGAAGTAAACTAATCAAAACAGGTGACGTCAACAAGAAGAGGCGCGGTCGTTCCCTCTCATTTCGCAGTCAAATTGGCGCCCATGGTTCATAGCCTTTTTAGCGGAACTTTGTCAACTCTACTGGCGGCTCCGTCAACGAACCAAAGCAGCGTCACCAGCAGCGCTTCGTGCTAAGACCCTCTTCCTTCCGTCTGGTCCCCATCCAAATTAGGAAAACAGGAAGACACGATGATTGCTGCAATACTTCACGTGCGAGTGTGACGTTCAGGCTATGACGTGAGCCAAGCGGGAGAGGATCAACCACACCTGCCGCACCCTCGTAGGTGACTTTCTCTCCTCCGTAAACGATGCAAGCTCTCACATCGACGACAGACGTCAAACACTACTAGTCCCGCACACTGTGTCCGTCACAACGGATCTATCCTTGGCCACCACCGTCTGACACGGCCCCCCGCCCGATCTTGTGAAGCCCCTTTTCACGTCAGTATGTATGAGCTGGAGCATTCCTTGACAGAGGTCGGGCTGATAGGCATATGCTGCATGATCGAAGAGAAGGCTGAAGATGTCCATTTTTCCGGGCAGCGCTCGTCTCCACTCCAACTTCTTTCCCCGCAGGTGCTGCCTCTCTCTTTCATGTCCGTCCTTCGATCTTGCGCCTGCCCGCATCTCTCTCTCTCTCTCTCTCTCTCTCTCTCTCTCTCTCTCTCTCTCTCTCTCTCTCTCTCTCTCTCTCTCTCTCTCTCTCTCTCGTAACCGTTCTCGCGAGTTGACCTCATGTGTTTTTCAGTCTAGCGGCTCCGGTCCCGTCGTCGTCGCGAGTTGGCCTCTGGGCCACTTTCCACAGGCTCGGCGATTGGGTGGTCCCACCGCCACCCAGTCCATGCCAGGACTGGGTCCGGACCTCCCGGTCACTCTCCTCACTCTCAGCTTCCGTCTCGCGGTCCAGGTGCTGCTGTTCCCTCTCTGCAGTGTCCGTAGAGGTCTCTCCCTCCAGGTACGAGACGGTCACCTTGATTTCGTCCGTGACCCCGTCTCGTCTACACCTCCTCTAGGCTCTGTCCTTAGCCTCCGTGATTGCCAATTGCAGGCCCTGATCTTCCCTCGTGTCTTCTTTTTTTCCCCCTTCCACATTCACCTTCAGTCTGACCTCCTGATTGCAGCGGCTGTAGTCCACGATAGCGGTCACCAGAGGCCCCTCACCAGACATCTGCTCCCACCTCCAGATAAATTGGAGATACTTCAGCCTATAGCCATACAGTTTGTTCCTCCGTACCATGGTGAGCCTGTGCAGGCAGTATTCGTTACCAGGCTGCAGATCCCGGAATAGCCGCAGTCGAACACTATGAGCATGAGCACGCTCACACCGACGATCTCCCGCACACTCGCCACGCCGCCTAGCCCTCCCCCCTTGGCTCGCCAGTACTCGGCGTAGCGAGCCACTCATGCTCTAGGGCCCCAAGGGGAACCTCTTTTCCATTTTATGGGATCGCTGCTAGCCACGATCAACAAAACACCCTCGGCGGCGGCCAAGCGCGGCCAAATCCACGGACGCGGCCAGGCCGCCGACCCCGCGGACGCGTCCGCACGGCCACGCAACTTTGCGGCCGCGTTGCGGCCAGTGGGGAGGGGGGTTGGGGATTCGGGAAACGCCATGGGGTGGCGCAACTCCAGCC